TATCAAATTATGTTTCCTTGTAAACTGAAATTATGCAAGAATGTCTAACAATTTTCATTATAGATATATCTTCTATAATCGGCAAATTTGATTAAATAAGTTAAAAAAAATTATCTACCAAAATAAAAAAAAAGATAAAGGATAAGGAGAAAATTACATTTAAACACATATAATCATTTTTGACAAAACATAAATAATTCAAAAAGAAATAATATAATAGAAACATTACTTCTTAAGGACCTAAAAAAATAAAGAATAATCACTATATAGCTCAAAATCCATTAATCTCCATCTCTTAATGTTTTCATTTCATCCTATATATAAAAGTCAAGAAAAATAATAACAAATAAATTATTAGTCCTAAAATGAATCTCAAAGATAACAAATTAAAATATTACATCTCATAAAGGATAAGAAAAAATTACATTTAATCATAAATTCTGCTACATAATCATTTTGGACAAATAATCAATATATATAACTCAAAATCCATTAATATTCATTGCTTGATGTTATCATTTCATCCTATATACAAGAGTGAAGAAAAATAATAACAAATACATTATTAGTCATAAAATAAATATCAAAGATAACAGAACAAAATAATTTATCTAGAAGAAATAAAAGTATGTTGACATATTAGCCTTACTTGCTAATTAAAAGTAATATATGAAATAATATTTAAAAAAACAATGCACCTCAAAGCTTAAAAATATTGTAACATTCCTTCCACTAATTCTCTACCCAAAGATGACTACAAAATAACACACAATTTTAGTGTAATTTTATAGTGTTAATGTAACCTTTCACCATTAAATAATTAGAAGTTATGAATATGAAAGGTTTAAGAGGTTATGAATATGAAAGATTTGAGGGTTATGAATATTATTAATACTAATTTAAGAATAGAATTTATATAATTAAAGAGGTATAAATTTATATAAAAAAAATAAAAAAATAAATATCAAGTAAAAGAAGAAAGATAAGAAAAAATGAATGGAGGTCATAGAGAGGTGCCACATCACCTCCTCTATGATCCTCATTTATATTTATATATAGATTTAGAGGCACATAAGTAGATAAAGATTAATGGGTTAGTCCCTTCGTTCTTATTTATAAGTCAAGATTTTAGGTTTCACGCCACTTAAGAAACTAGGTAAATTTACCATGTACCATTATTTAGTATTTTTTTGAAGTCAAATTTCATTAAATGAACATAAATTAATTTAATATGATTGTCCAATGAACATTAATCAATTACTTAGTTTTTCTAAATAAATTAGTACTTTCAAGGCTAATAACTTTCAAAGTGTAAATATAAAGAATCATTTCATTTATTCATTGATTTTGTTAAATGAAAGTTACTCCCTCGTTCCTAAATATATGTCACCGATTTGAATTTCATGTGCATTCCAAACGAAGTTTACTATTCTACCCTTAATCTTTTTGGAACTCAAACTTTCAATCAATGAATATAAATTAATTTTTTGGAACTCATATTTTCAACCAATGAATATGAATTAATTTGTTTTGATTAAGTAATTTAACCAAATGGAACATGAATTATTTACTTATATCATCTCCAACCCACTTCGATTTTATTCTTCATTCTTTATATTTGGAGAGTAAAATAGAAAATGGGCACTCCAACTCACCTTCAAATCACCCTCTATTCTCCATTTATCTATTTCACTTTTTCATTATTTTATTATTATTACTATTAGTTTCTAATTAACATATATCTTATATATAATTCCATTAATTAAGTATCTAATATTCATAATTATTTTTCAAATGTAATTTAATATTTTAAAAAATATTTTTTAATATATACTTCTTAGTTTCAAACTAATAGTATTTTATTTTATTTTTCTAATTTTCATCAATAATAAAATTTTATTTTATTATTAATTTTCACTATAAATAATATACAAAATTATAATTGAAAAATAAAAAAATTAATTTAAAAATTCATACATAATATGATGTAACGACCTGTTTAGTCGTTTTGAGCAACAAACTTCAATTCTGGAAAAACAGGCTGAGGCGACGGACCAAACGACGATCCGTCATGGGCACAACGGACCGTCGCAGGGTCTCGTTTCAAAACAGTTAGAAAATCTGAAATTGGGTACTGAAAATCGACTCTCTGAACTTCGTGACGGAATGGCAGGACAGACCGTCACAGGCGTGACGGACCGTCATAGATTGTTCAGTGGAAGTTGACTCTCTGACCCTTGCGACGACCTGCAGGACGGACCGTCGCAGGCACGACGGCCCGTCACAGGTTGCGCAAATCCCAGGCAGAATCGAATTTCCTTACAATTTTTAAGGGACGTTTTTGGACTGTTCTTTCTTTAATTATAGATTTCGTGGGGTTATATTAATAACTAAAATTCTTGAGGGGTTAAAAGAGGTAACCCTAAGTTAATTAGTGGGGTATTATTGTCATTTTTTATTCTTAATTATATACTAATTAGGGTAAAAGAAAGAGGGTTGGAATAAGAAATGAGAAAGTTGAGAGAGAGAGAGAGAATCGAACGAGAAGGGAGAAACAAAGCTTTGGGAAAATTCTTGCTTGATTCAATTCTTCGGTGGAGGTAGGTTATGGTTTTCATGCTCT